TCGTGTTCGGGCTGAAAGCGGTAACACCCTTCCCTCCTCGGTGCTGCAGATGGAGCTGGAAGCGCTGCGCTCTATCTACGAGGGAGATCTGTGCTTCAGGGAGCTTAGCCCAGTTTCCTTCCAGTACAGGGTAAGGCAAGGTGAAGGTCTGCGAGTCGCTGCAGCGCAGGTTTCGCCTCGAAGTTACTCTGCTGCGTGGTAGTTGACATACCAGGGTTTTTCTAAAACAAATGGGTATTCGAAGGGCAGTAAAGGCTAGATCCGTAGGCCATTGTTTTAGGATTTTTGGTACGATGATGCTTGATAGCACAATGCATAATATTTAGGAACGTGCTCCCAGCACCAGTTTATTATCCCTCAGCTAGGCATCCTGCTTACACGTCTGCGTACTGCATAGCTAGAACTGTCAGACTGGCTGAAGGAGCCAGCAAACTAGCTGGTCAGAAATGTCACTTACAGAAACATTTATATGTAAAGCTCTGAGCCTTCCCTATTACAAGGTCTCTTGTCCAGAGGTAGTTGGCATGCCTTGTCTACCTGCTAAAGAGAAAATCCTCAAAATGCTTTGGGCATGTGCACTGATACGATCTGCTCAGGAGAGACATACAGGGTGTGCTGAGCTTGAGATGTGCAATTCGATTCTGGCATGAAATTCTTGCCAGCTTTCTCAGATTTAAAGACCCAGAAGTTCTTCTGGGCATGGACTGAGGCAGATCTTTGGACAGCCAGACAAACCAACTTTACTGATGAAAACTTAGGCACCCATCGGACAGAAGAGAGACTTATGAAAATGCCATATCCCTTTAGTGGGGAGGAGGCATCTAAAATAACCTCCTCGTGACTTCTCAAGTAACTTCAGAATAACATTAGTAATTGTAATGAGACAAGTCGATTTAATTAATAGCACTTGAATCCCACCCATGTAAGTGCAGCCTTCCTTCACTGATAGGACCGTTATTAGTAAATTTAATTTCCTCAAAAGAGCAAATGTGACATGCCTACAAGTCTACAATGTATCATTCTACATTTTACTAGCTTTGACCATTGCTAATTTTTGTTAGACAAAAAATAATTGCACTAATCTTCCAAATCCTTGTGTGAAACAGTTATTTCTGTTTGCATAGCGTGCCTTTGGTAGGACCTGTACTAGTTTTAAATAAAAAAAAGATTTGTTTTTTATTTAATTTAACATAATTGTAAGGATTGTATATGTAATTTGTGTTCACTAAATTGGTTTGGTGTGCATGATTATTTATATTAAAGTCTGCCTTTTACTAATGTTACGCTTTTTTTATCCAGTCTCATTTTACTGACTTGTTAAATCTTTTGCTACTCATTCTTTCTTGTAGTGAAAGAAAATATTTGTAGGGATGAGATGTAAATATCGACATTCTTATCTATTTTTTTTGCTGTCTTAGGTCACTTGTTTATTGTCGTCTTTATTTCCACGCTGTTTTGTGGTTTGTTTTCATATTACTCTGACCTTGGATGCGTGGGGGAAAAAAAGAAGGCTTCATCTTTTCTGTTCTCATATATGATTGTATAATATTTGGCTTGCAGATGCTACAAAGTAGCTTTTAAAACCAAGCAATTGAAAAAAAAACATAAAGAGACCTTTGAATGTTTCTGCTGCTTTTCCTAGGATGAAAACTGCAGGGTAGCGATTAATATTGATGCAATAAATTTAATACTTTTTCTAGATAACAGCTTTATTTTCTAACTGATAACTTTATGAACATAGTTGTTATCTTAAGGAATTTGGATAGTCTTAAAGAAGTGAAATACTTGCATATGGGCTTTGTAATCCTTAATAAGTGACTGGAAACTGTTGATTTATATAGTTTTTCTTTTCCCTTCAGATAGGTGAAAGTGGAGATCCCAAAGCCTTTCTAATAGAAGTTTCTTGGCCGGAAACATATCCACAAACAGCACCAGTCATATCGATGGATGCTTTCTTCAACAACACAATGTAAGTATTTATAATAGCTTTACTTCCTAGTCTGATATGTGGGGGCTTTTTGGTTGACAAGCTTTTCTTCATCTGTCTAGATTACAGTTGGGTTTTATGGTTTCTTTTAGATCTTCAGCTATTAAACAAAGTATATTGGATAAGTTAATGGTAGAAGTCGAAGCGAATCTTGGAACTGCTATGACATACACACTTTTTGAATATGCCAAAGATAATAAAGAGTTGTTCATGGAAAATCAGCCTGTTAACACTGTGGTAAGTAGATAAATTCAGATTTTAATCTCTTGCTTTTAAAACTGCAAAAAATGGTTATTACAACTCTAAATACTTCATAGCTCTGTCTTTAAGTTGTTATTCAGCATATTGGGTATACACATGTTAGTGGCTAAACAGTGACACACAAAGTATGGTGGCACAATGCTCTGTGGTCTTAATTGTTATATTTGTTATTTTGCTGTTATACCAAAATGTTTGTAGGCTGCAGTTCTATCCCACAGAGTAACATAAAAATGGAGACTTGGAGCAGAAGCAAAACTAGAAAGAGCTGAAACGGAGATGAAAGGTGTCTGCTCAGGGGTGGGGGCAAATTACTGCAACCTTCCTGGGATGCAATGGATTGCATAAGTGCACCTCCAGGGTCTTGAATGAGTCAGGCTGGGTCTATTTGTGGCTTCTGTGTTGTGTAAGGCTGTTATTGGCCATTGTGGTGCTGCAGATTTGCTTGGAGGAAGAAGGGATGGTTTCCATATTTGGGAAGTCTGAACCCCTTCAGACTAAATAACACTCTATGATTAAACTTAAAAAGTGTAAGAGGTGCCCTTTGCAACTCTGAAAGAGAATAATTCCAATCCCCAACACATGGTTCTTAGAACTACAATCATGATTATGTGTTGATTAAAAGCTGCAGACTGCTGACAGCATTGATTCTTTCTAACAGTCAAGCTGTTTCAGTATGTCAGGTTCAGTAATCACAGACAGAGGTATCTGTGCAAGTAATATGCGAAACATTAACAACTGTTTTTATCCTTCTCAGACTTCAGTAAGCAATAGTATTGCAATTGGAACTCCTGATGTGCCAGCAAGTAAGAAAAAAGATAAAAAGGAGCAGTTATCCAAAACCCAGAAACGAAAACTAGCCGATAAAACAGGTTTGTTCACTATAGTATTGTTTTCTTTGAGCAGTATGAGAATCCAAATTTTATAGCAGTGACATCTTGCTAGAATCAGAATCCGTAGTCATTTGTTCATAAGATTAACTACTGCAAGTCTGTGGTCTCTGATTTGCTTATTTTAGATGAATTATTCTTGCCTGAGATGTTCGTTCTGGTCAAAGCAACTTTCTATAGAGTAGGGGTTTCCAGATGTCGTTGTTTTATTTTTTTATTTCAATTTGTGACAAAAGTGAAATTTTCAAAAAACACTTGTGGGAGGAGAGCATTTGGGACTTCTAAAAATTCACTTTCAACAAAAGACGTGGTTTGTTGATGGGCCCGTGTAAATAATTCACATTATTAAAAATATAATTTCTAAATGAAAGTATTTGTCTTGGAACCCAAAATAAAGCATTTAATTTAATTTGTGTCTTCAAAACAGAGGTGCTTCTGCAGATACTTTATGCTTTCAATGAAATGGTAGATTTTTGATTGAAAAGTGTTCAATATTTCGGCTAATCCTGCTGATGACTTTTATATGTGCAACTTTAATTTTTAATAATGATCTGGATAATACTATTCTATTGCAGCAATAAGTTGTACCCTGTGATAGCAATTTCTGCATATAAATTACCTAACCTAATTTATAATTGGCATATTAAATGTTGGCTGTATAAAGGAAAAGCTGTGTAAAATTTTGTTCTTTGACAAAATGCATCATTGCTGGTCAGCCCAGCTCATGTTGGAGTTGCCTTCTAAATGAAATGTCAGATGGACTGAGGTGTTTTTCTTTAAACAGAATTACTTTGAAGAAAAAGATGTGTTTAAGACATGAATATTTATTTTTGTCCTCATGGCTTTCTAGTGGAGAAATTAAGGGGTTTTGGTCTTTAGAATTTTGTATGTTGATTTTAAGGAAGATAAAGATTCCCCTTAGCTTGTGTGTTGAAAATAAAGCCTTCTTATTCTGCAGATAACAAAGGGGAGCTTCCACGAGGATGGAACTGGGTGGACGTAATTAAGGTAACATGACTGTATTATATGCAGTATTATGAAAATACTGCGTATGTACATTAAAAAATAATTTGTATTTATATCTGAAGAAGACTAACCTGTTTTTTTTTCTTGCTTTTCTTCCTAACTTTGGATTTGACTGTGGTGTCTGATTCATTTCTATATGCATCCAGCATGTAAGTATTTTCAAGTTATCTTTTTTAAGTGTTAAAAAGATTTGCAAGGAATAGTAAAAACTGTTGCCCATTTTGAATTCTAATTTACATATTTCTCAAGTGCTTTAAAATGTGTAGTTCTTCTGAATATTAGAGTCAGACGGACTTTGATTCCTCTTTGAACTTTGTTGGTTTAGTATTTCTTTTTTATTTATTGAGCAATTACATTTTAATTTTATGATGAGAGAGCTTTGCTAGCCAAATGCACTGCAAATATTCTGTCTTTATATGGCAACAAGATGTAAAATAAAGTTAGTGGTGCTGCCAGGTTCTACAGGGCAATGGATAAGTAAGCAGAAAATGGGAGCTGTCCCAAGTGGGAGCACTTTGCTGTCTCCTACAAGCCTGAGCATTCTCTGCTCCAACTCCTACAGTGAATAATTCTTTTCTACTTGCTCCCTCAGCATTGATTTCTTCCACCCTCTTGTCTTTGCTGATTCAGTGGAAATCAGTATAGCTGCTTGACAATTTTGAAAGCAAACTATTTTATTTTATGCAACTATAAGTAATTCTCAGTGTAAGACATAACACCGGCTCCAGTTGTTAAATAAGAGCAAGTGAATGATGATGATGGTTTTGGGCAGAGTCCTTCTGAGTTCAAAGTGGCTATTTGTAGTGGATGTCTTGGATTCTAGATAGATTTCATGATAGATGCACTACATTGAATAGTTATAAACTTAGCTTTAAAAAAGAGAGAAATAATAAGTTCATGTCTCTTTCTGTATTGTGTAAATTTCTGTCTGGGAATTCTCTCAGAGGTGTGTGGAGATACTTCTTCCATTACTTCATCTTTTTATTTTGGAGAGCTGGTGACAGAGTCTTCAAATTAAGTAGAAACAGTACCCTGAGTTTTTTCTGGGGTTTTGTGGTGTTGTTTTTTTAAAATCAACTTTCACATTCAGGAAAGAAGCTTATTTAGTGTTTAAGCTTAAGAAATAATTTTTGATGCTTTTCGCTCTCTTGGTACAGTAGCACAATCAGCCTGTATTATTAATTAAATACACGTGTTCTATGTAAGATGGAGATAATGTTGTTTCCTAATAAATGGAATGGCAGTCTAAACTTTGAATACTTTCTTTTTGTGTCTCTTTTATAGTTAAGCAAAACTGGTTCTAAAGATGATGAATAAAGGACTTTGGTACAAGGAAACTCCACCTTTTAATACAGTGCAATTTTGGGTCACCATCTTTCTCTTAATAACTTTCGTATTTGTTGAAGTAAACATTTTCTAAAGCTCAATCTCCTAACTCGCAAACCTAGTCACACAAGTTTATCTAGAGACTGTGTGGTCTTCTTTGGAAAAAAAAAAACAAAACAACTTGCCTTAAGTGAAGGTTAGAATGTGACAAAGGATACAGAGAGCCAATGTGGTGAAGTGAATAGTGCTATATGCAGTGTTTATTAATTTATATTTTACTCTGTAGTAAAATCCTGTTATAGTGAACCCAATGATACTGTAAACATTTCCTGATGTTCTTATTCCAATTGAAGAAAAAAGCACTATAACAGTGATTGGTCACTTGACAGCATAATTCAAAATAAATTATTCCATGGAAACAAGTCCTTTGTCATTTGTTTATCTAATGTGAATGTAGAAGGAGAACATAACAACTGTTACATTGCAATACGGACTAGAGCTTGTGGTCCCGTTTTCACTAGATACTGGCTGAAATAGTAAAAACTAGCGAAAACAAGGTCAAATATTCTAGTCTGCTCAAAAATGAGTGGTTACAGTAGGAGTATGTCCTCTTTATTCTCTTCGGTATCCATCTGTTAGTCTTTCTCCAGTATGCATTGTTAAAGAAGGTTGGATGCCTGAGGGGACGGAAAAGTGCTTTCTTGCACGTGTCTCAATGAGTGTTGAGATTTTGTAGCTCTTTTTATGGGCATTCCTTGGAGGGGTTTGCTGTCTGAGTGGTGGGACAGTGGGAAGAAGTCAGCGTTCTGCCAAATAGGTTGGGAGAACTTTTTTTTTTTCCTAATCTGCTCTCTTGTATCAGAAAGAGAAGTCATCTTTACTATATGGGTGGTTACTGAATACAAGATGCCTTAATGTCCTTTATTATTTTTGTTTGTTTTGAGATGAACTTTAATAAATGCCTATTTATCTGCTGTGGTATGTGGTTGTTTGTTTTTTTTTTAATTGTGTATTGCCTCCTGCACTTCTAGGGTCAAGTTTGAATTTGCAAAGGATTGTCTCTTATAAGGAAAGCATTCTTACAAATTGGTGGAAGAACTCTATCTTCCCTCTTTCAGTATATATTTATATGTTCTTCAGGGTAGCTGTGTTAGTTATTAATACGAGGGTCAGTCATCCCACTGAGAGTCATAGGAGAATATCCATTTGGTGAGAGGGATGTTAGAGGCACAGGCTGGATGCTCTCGTCAGTGGTGCTAAGAGCCTTTGTAGCCAATAGAGGATAGTTTATGTGACTGTCATGTTAGGACTTCAGTTGATGGAGTGGAGGTGTTTATGCTACTGTCCATGTCAAGAGAGCCTATATGCAACATACATTAACATAGTTCTCTGGAATTCTCTTAAATTATTTCTGTTTTACCAAAGGATGATACACTAAATATATTGCAAAATGCTGCTTGTCTTCATATATATATATATATATATGTATATATAAAAAGAAAAAAATGTTACATGAAATGTTGTGACTGCAGGTGAAGGAAAAAAAATTGAATTTGTTCTGTGGTTTTCTTTCTTCTGAAGAGACTGTGAAGAGATCTGAAAGAAATATGGTCTGTACTGCTGTCATCCAACAAGAAGCTGTAGTTTTTACTGAAACACTTGAGTTACAATCGGTAAATATGTGCTTCCTCAATAATGAAAATACTATTAATTCTTAAAGAGTTCTTAATTTCAGGAAGTCGTGATTTCTTTTTGAACTCAACTTGCATTTGGTAAAAGCTGGTAAAGTATACAAGGTAGGACTCTTTCCAAATGATGCAATCTTGCCTTTGACATAAACTGGAGGCTCATGGCTGCAATCTGAGCAAGAGTGTCTGGCAGGGAGTAACACTGTGGGGAGAAGTTGCTCTGGTAGCACACGGTGAGCCTGGAACAGGGAAGGGCATTTAGCTTTAGTCTCTGCCAGTGTCAGAATGGGCAGGACTTTTTCTATTCATAACATCTCCAAGGGGAATCGACTTGTCTTCGCTAGTATCCTTGCTATATAAATCAAGTTGCCATGACAATTTATCTGAATAGATTAGTTAGGGAGGGTGGGGGAAGGACAAATAAGAACCACATCTCTTGCTTTTGTAGTGTTACTGTGTGTAACAACAAACTTGTTGACCTTGTGAAATGCCTGGTTTTTCAGCTCCTAGTCTGCCTGTAAATCACACACTTGTAGGAAGATATCCGAGCAATCTCCTCTGGTTCTGTTAGTAAATGTGTTTGTTTGGAAGTCTACTTTCCAGGGAAATATTTTGCATTGGGAATTTTTGTATCAGTTCTTTGCTTCTGTGTAAATTTTGAAAGGTAATTTGGGTCATTAAACCTTTTTTTCGTGTGACGTGATGGTTGGAACAGGGTCATTTCAAGAATCTAGGTATTTGATATGGAGAGGCCTGAGCACTGACAGCTGAGGGAAGGGAAAATGTAATGATTCTTATCAAGAAAGGCGCAACTGTAAATATAGGTCATGACTATCGAGGGAATTCCGAACACTGTTGAAAAATACACCACCACCACCACCTTTTAAGTAAAAACCCACTGGCAGTGGAAAAATGGTGGTTTATGCTTTATTTCAGTAGGGCAAGAGTCTCTTGATTGTAGGGCTACACCACCTATTGAAATTCATGGGTTTTGCAGTAAAGCTTTGATTGGCCTGAGAAGACAAGTGTCAATACTAGTAACAGTAAATTGAAAGTAGCAAGTGTCCAAAATACAGGATGATTAAAAAGGAATTTGTCAGTTTACAAAACTTTCCATACTGCGTGTATATTAATTGCCTTACTGAAATGCTAGTTGAAAGAGCTTTTAAAAAAACCACTTTTTATCTATAGTGTTGTTGCAATAACCACTTGGAAATCTCCTCTGATCAAGCATAGCTTACTTTTTTCCCTTTTTCAAATTTGTCTCTGAGAATCTTTCCTTGGGACAAATTTCGTGCAGAAAATTGAGGTGGTAATACCAATGCTTAAATGAAGTTTAGTTTTTTTAACTGAAATTTAACTTAAAATATTTTTCTTCAGTCTTTTAGTACATATTTGAATTGGTTAATATTCCTAATACCTTTGAATGTTAATTAATTTTAACCTATGCGTTGTTTTTTTTTTTTTTCAAAAACTTTTCTGAGCAGGCTATAATTTTGTGGTCTGTTTGCTTGCTGTTAAGGAGGCAGGCAGTCTCTCTCCCCCAGCCCCCCTCTTTTTTTCCCTCTGTCAGACCTTAGGGTGCCCTGGGGCGCATCGCTAGGCAGTGCACTTTCCAGCCTCAACTTACAGGAGCTATTAGCATAGGATGTATGCATTTTTTGCTATAAAATTATTTGGTATCTCTGAAACACAGTGACCTCTTCTCCAAATTCTACCCAGCTCTTTCTGTTGTTGATACAGGTATTTGAATAATAATAAAAAAAAAAAAAAAGTATGGCAGGGGCACAAGAACTGTCACTATCGCATTGGTATTTTATACTTTATTTCAGATGAAACTTCAAAGAAGTCTTTAGTTGTATTTGCATGATGTTAAATACAAGTTCATTCAGTGCTGTTAGGACCAAGGCCAAAGATGCTCCATTGCACTGTAATGTACTGAATCCCGGGGAATAATGCAGACTGCCTTTCAGTATGTTGGGTGGAGGGGTGACAGCTGTGATTCATCAGCAGCGTCTGCCTAGATATCCTGCTCACCCCTTGGTCAGCCTGGCCCAGCTGACACCGAAACCGAGGCTACTAACGTCGGCAGTACCGCTGCACCTGGTTGTATGTGGGGCGGATAGATGAAGCATGCCTAACCCATGAGTGATTAGATTTCGGTGAGTAAAAGAACAGTAGGGAAAAAAAGCCAGCATTTCTTCACATAAGACCTTTGGTAGAAGTGCAAATGTAGGGAGACTATACTCCTTTCATCTGCAGCAAGACAAGTGGTTTTGGGTTATACTGTGAGCTTCATGCTGTGAAAGTCATTGAACTGGTCTGAACCAGAACTGGTTGCCCTTTGGAAATTGTTTCCTTCAACTGTGTTTTGAGGCTTATAGTACAGCACCCTAAGCACTTGCAGTTAACAGCAGAATGAAGGGGGGAGGAAATGTTCATTCAACAGAGTAAACACCAGAAGTGTGAGAATTCTGGGTGGATTGGAGGAGGAAGTGGAGGGGGGAAAACATCCTCGTACGCAAAACTAGAAGAGCATAAGGGATAAATCTTCCTTGCTGCAGGACGATACAACAACACAAAAGCTAATCTTATGGTTGCAGAGCTATAAATTCTGGCATGAGGTTGGGTTATGGTAAAAGACAAGAGGATTGTAGATTTTCTTTCTGTCACTGTCACCTATTCTTTCACCAACATGGATTTGGCTTCATCTCAGAATGGGGCTACTCCATGGTTGGAAGAATTTCTGTTTGTCTGACTGTTACGCTTCCCGTTACTCTCTTTCTGAGCCCATGGAAGCAACCTCTGAAAGTCTGCTGTACTCTCAGAAATAAGTTAAGACAAAACATATTGACTAGGCACTGGAAAATCATGTTAGAATATTTGGTGTGGGTGAAAGAATTAACTGTTTCTTTCTCATTTATTCAGAGCAAAGTGGGGAGTGACTCAAAATGGCTGAATTGCACAAGACATATGAGAACCTATATCCGGACACTGGTGTCCTACGTCAGGCCGAAAGTTTGTCCGTCTAGTTTAAAGTTTTACATAGCTATCCCTTGCTACTGTGTCTGAGCAGTCATGCTTGTGGTTCCTACAGTAGTATGTGTTTTAAGTATTCATGTTTACAATGTGGCAGAAATTGGAAAACTCTTACTATGACTGCCTACTGCAAGTTGCCTATGTTGTGAGATGGAATAAGGTCACGGCAGTGAGAGAGAAAGCCAAACTATAACTGCACAGCCTTAGTGGAGAGGAATGAGGTTGTGTGGGTGTCTCTGAGGGCATAATTTCTTCTGCAGTATCTTTATTACTGGTAATGATCAGTGAAAGGGAAAAGTCAGTCTAGGATGAATGGAAGATATCATTCAAGAAAAGATAATCTTTTCCTTCTTAAACAGTTATCAGTTGTAGTGTCACTGAGAGGCGATAAACATAAACATAGTCTTGTATGGAGTCGCTCTTCAGAGCAGGATCTTACTTAAAATCAACGAAGTGTCTCTGTCAGTAATGCATTTTATGACTTCCTACAGGAAAAACAAATGTAAAGAAAGCATAACTATCTGAAGAGCTGCTGCCTCCACTCTAGGGAACCATTTGATCTCTACTTATAGGGAACACTATGGTTCAATTGACCTTGAAGAGAGAGATTTTATGATACTACAGGGAAAATGTAGCAGCCCATTGATAAAAAGTACGTAGCCTCTACAGACGGTTAACAAATTTGCACAGCATTATCAGTTTTATATTCTTCTTTGAAGATCAGCACTAGAATATTACCAGGTTTTAGTTAACTGGCATACAGCATGATTATGATTTTTTTTTCCCCTCCTCATGCCGTATGTCTTTAGATGATGAAAGTACAGGATGTAGTATAGAAATTTATTTCCTAGATTAAAATAGTGCTGAAGTTACAAATCCACTCAAAGGAAGGAAATCAGTCTTACGCAGAAATAAGAATGTGCCAAAATTGAAGCTGCC